GTCATCGGCTCTGTGGCGCCGACTAAATACTCCTCCAGCACATCGCTCGGCCTCACCTGTAAGGAAGCTTGACACGTTGTTCTGGTGTGTTCAGGGTCATACAAGCACTGCGATTGTTCTGTCTTGCCTTGCAAAACGATGTCTTGTTGCCTGGACAGAAGATCTCCAGCTCCAATGCTGGTTCGCATGTCCTTGCCGTCTCAAGCGCAGTTTACGCACTCACCGGGCCATACAACGACTTGGGCTCGGGCTTCTCTCGCACTCGCCGGCGCTTGTACCTGATCCAGTCGATAATTGTAGTTTGCGTTCTCTCTGACGGCCCTTTCAGGGCCAGGCGGACCCATTATCGGAGTCTTGCGGTGCGTCATTGCGGGTGAGTGCTTGATCTCAGGGTCTGTAGACAAGTTGCGACTTGAGACGCGGGCAAGGTCGGCAAGGATAAGAAATTCAAACAGTATAGCGAACCTGATGCCGTGGTTTCCCGTCTATGTAGTTGGTGGCCTCTTGATAAGAAGACTGCAGGCATGCACTTGTTCATGTTCGGGGCAACGACCGAGTCTGGAGATCTGTGCATTGTTAGAACCCTACACGCAAGGCTGGAAGCACCTACGTCGCTCCAGTGCTGGAGTCTCCGTCCGGCCCACTGTACAGAACGTACTTTCGGTTTACACAAGCAGCGATTCATTAGGCGGCTCCCTACAGAGGTGAAGCAGAAAACCCTGGAACCCGAAGTCGCTCGCTCACTGTAGAGGTGAAACATGCGGGGCCGCGGACCTGGTGTCTGGAGCCTGGCTAACTGCTGCATTCTACTTTGATCGTGTCATTAAGTCTGCATCTTGGATTCTGCAGTTCGCTGGTACTAAAGTGGGAGGCCTGGGACCTGATCTCTGCTTCGGTGTGGAGGACAAGAGGGAGGTCTGGACCTGACTCCCTGGCATGCTGCAGAAGCCTCCTGGAGCCCTCTTGTAGAGGTGAAACCGAAGCCTCCCTGGAGCCTCTTGTAGAGGTGAAACCGAAGCCTCCTGGAGCCCTCTTGTAGAGGTGAAACCGAAGCCTCCCTGGAGCCCTCTTGTAGAGGTGAAACCGAAGCCTCCCGGAGCCCTCTTGTAGAGGTGAAACCGAAGCCTCCTGGAGCCCTCTTGTAGAGGTGAAACCGAAGCCTCCCTGGAGCCCTCTTGTAGAGGTGAAACCGAAGCCTCCCTGGAGCCCTCTTGTAGAGGTGAAACCGAAGCCTCCTGGACCCCTCTTGTAGAGGTGAAACCGAAGCCTCCTGGACCCCTCTTGTAGAGGTGAAACCGAAGCCTCCTGGAGCCCTCTTGTAGAGGTGAAACCGAAGCCTCCTGGAGCCCCCTTGTAGAGGTGAAACCGAAGCCTCCCTGGAGCCCTCTTGTAGAGGTGAACCCGAAGCCTCCCTGGAGCCCTCTTGTAGAGGTGAAACCGAAGCCTCCTGGAGCCCTCTTGTAGAGGTGAAACCGAAGCCTCCTGGAGCCCTCTTGTAGAGGTGAAACCGAAGCTTCCCTCCTGTAGAGGTGAAACCGAAGCCTCCTGGAGCCCTCTTGTAGAGGTGAAACCGAAGCCTCCTGGAGCCCTCTTGTAGAGGTGAAACCGAAGCCTCCTGGAGCCCTCTTGTAGAGGTGAAACCGAAGCCTCCTGGAGCCCTCTTGTAGAGGTGAAACGGAAGCCTCCTGGAGCCCTTTGTAGAGGTGAAACCGAAGCCTCCTGGAGCCCTCTTGTAGAGGTGAAACGGAAGCCTCCTGGAGCCCTCTTGTAGAGGTGAAACCGAAGCCTCCTGGAGCCCTCTTGTAGAGGTGAAACCGAAGCCTCCTGGAGCCCTCTTGTAGAGGTGAAACCGAAGCCCCCTGGACCCCTCTTGTAGAGGTGAAACCGAAGCCTCCCTGGAGCCCTCTTGTAGAGGTGAAACGGAAGCCTCCCTGGAGCCCTCTTGTAGAGGTGAAACGGAAGCCTCCTGGAGCCCTCTTGTAGAGGGGAAACGGAAGCCTCCCTGGAGCCCTCTTGTAGAGGTGAAACCGAAGCCTCCTGGAGCCCTCTTGTAGAGGTGAAACGGAAGCCTCCTGGAGCCCTCTTGTAGAGGTGAAACGGAAGCCTTCTGGAGCCCTCTTGTAGAGGTGAAACGGAAGCCTCCTGGAGCCCTCTTGTAGAGGGGAAACCGAAGCCTCCTGGAGCCCTCTTGTAGAGGTGAAACCGAAGCCTCCTGGAGCCCTCTTGTAGAGGTGAAACCGAAGCCTCCTGGAGCCCTCTTGTAGAGGTGAAACCGAAGCCTCCTGGAGCCCTCTTAGAGGTGAAACCGAAGCCTCCTGGAGCCCTCTTGTAAAGGTGAAACCGAAGGAGCCCTCTTGTAGAGGTGAAACGGAAGCCTCCTGGAGCCCTCTTGTAGAGGTGAAACCGAAGCCTCCTGGAGCCCCTCTTGTAGAGGTGAAAACCGAAGCCTCCTTGACCCTCTTGTAGAGGTGAAACCGAAGCCCTCCTGGAGCCCTCCTTGTAGAGGGTGAAAGAAACACCGAAGCCTCCTTGGGCCCTCGTGTAGAGGTGAACCCGAAGCCTCCCCTGGAGCCCTCTTGTAGAGTGAAACGACGCTTCCGGAGGCCCTCTTGTAGAGTGAAACCGAAGCTCCTGGAGCCCTCTTGTAGAGTTGAGCACCGAAAGCCTCCTGGATCTTCTTGTAGAAGGTGAAACCGAAGCCTCCTGGAGCCCTCTTGTAGAGGTGAAACCGAAGCCTCCTGGAGCCCTCTTGTAGAGGTGAAACCGAAGCCTCCCTGGAGCCCTCTTGTAGAGGTGAAACCGAAGCCTCCCTGGAGCCCTCTTGTAGAGGTGAAACCGAAGCCTCCCTGGAGCCATCTTGTAGAGGTGAAACCGAAGCTTCCCTGGAGCCCTCTTGTAGAGGTGAAACCGAAGCTTCCCTGAATGGAGCCCTCTTGTAGAGGTGAAACCGAAGCCTGAATGGAGCCCTCTTGTAGAGGTGAAACCGAAGCTTCCCTGAATGGAGCCCTCTTGTAGAGGTGAAACCGAAGCCTCCTGGAGCCCTCTTGTAGAAGTGAAACCGAAGCCTCCTGGAGCCCTCTTGTAGAGGTGAAACCGAAGCTTCCCTGAATGGAGCCCTCTTGTAGAGGTGAAACCGAAGCTTCCCTGAATGGAGCCCTCTTGTAGAGGTGAAACCGAAGCCTCCTGGAGCCCTCTTGTAGAGGTGAAACCGAAGCCTCCTGGAGCCCTCTTGTAGAGGTGAAACCGAAGCCTCCTGGAGCCTTCTTGTAGAGGTGAAACCGAAGCCTCCTGGCGCCCTCTTGTAGAGGTGAAACCGAAGCCTCCTGGAGCCCTCTTGTAGAGGTGAAACCGACGCCTCCTGGAGCCCTCTTGTAGAGGTGAAACCGAAGCCTCCTGGAGCCCTCTTGTAGAGGTGAAACCGAAGCCTCCTGGAGCCCTCTCGTAGAGGTGCAACCGAAGCTTCCCTGGAGCCCTCTTGTAGAGGTGAAACCGAAGCTTCCCTGGACCCCTCTTGTAGAGGTGAAACCGAAGCCTCCTGGAGCCCTCTTGTAGAGGTGAAACCGAAGCTTCCTGGAGAGGTGAAACCGAAGCTTACTGGAGCCCTATTGTAGAGGTGAACCCGAAGCTTCCCTGGAGCCCTATTGTAGAGGTGAAACCGAAGCTTCCTGGAGCCCTCTTGTAGAGGTGAAACCGAAGCTTCCCTGGAGCCCGTCAGTAGAGGTGAAACCGAAGCTTCCTGGAGCCCTATTGTAAAGTTGAAACCGAAGCTTCCTGGGGCCCTATTGTAGAGGTGAAACCGAAGCTTTTATGGTGCCCTATTGCAGAAGTGCAACCGAAGCTTCCTGGAGCCTTATTGTAGAGGTGAAACCGAAGCTTCCCTGCCGCCTTATTGTAGAAGTGAAGCCGAAGCTTCCTGGAGCCCTGTTGTAGAGGTGAACCCGAAGCTTCCCTGGACTCCTATTGTATAGGTGAAACCGAAGCTTCCCTAGAGCCCTATTGTGGAGGTGAACCGAAGCTTTCCTGAAGTCCTCTTGTAGAGGTGAAACCGAAACTTCCTGGAGGGGGTAAAACCGAAGCTTCCCTGGAGCTCTATCGAAGAGCTGAAACCCAAGCTTCCTGGAGCCCTATTGTTGAAGTGAAACCGAAGCTTCTCTGGAGTCTTATCCCTGGAGCCCTATTGTAGAGGTGAAACCGAAGCTTCCTGAAGCCCTACTGTAGAGCTGAGACTGAAGCTTCCCTGGGGTCTTATTGCGGAGGTGAAGTCGAAGCTTACTGCAGCCCTATTGTGAAGGTGAAACCGAAACTTCCCTGGTGCCTTATTGTCGAGGTGAAACCGAAGCTTCCTGGAGCCTCATTGTAGAGGTGAAACCGAAGTTTCCTGGAGCCCCACTGTAGAAGTGAAACCGAAGCTTCCTGGAGCCCTATTGTAGAGGTGAAACCGGAGCTTCCCCAGGGCTCCATTACAGAGGTGAAACCGAAGCTCGTCTGGTGCCCTATTGTAGAAGTGAAAACGAAGCTTCCTGGAGCCCTATTGTCGAGGTGAAGCCGAAGCTTCCCTGGTGCCCTCTTGTAGAGGTGAAGCCGGAGCATCCTGTAGCCCTATTGTACAGGTGAAACCGAAGCTTCCTTGGTGTGAATGCTACTCGCAATCCCGTGCGGGGTTGGTCGCATGGAGATCCTATTCTTTCTGCTTCGCATGGTCTGGATGCTTGACCCGTGGTGATGCATGAACGAATCGATCGAATCCTTCGTTCTAGTGAAGTCGACGTCTGGGGTTATGTGTGTTCGGGCGCTACGATAACTCCGTCTCTGCTTTTCTTGCGCTGGCGCGAGCACGGACGGAGTCGTGGAGCAGTCGTAGTGGAGAACGGTCCTGGCACGCGAGGTTGAGTGAGCTTCGCTATACATGACCTACCGCATGACTCGGATTCCGGTGATGGCCCTGCACTTTTGCATGGAACGGGTACTAAATCCATACTGAGCCTGATTCGGCAGTGGGCTCAAGGGCTCGATGATCTTGCGCGTTTCTTTCGCTCCGGTGCTGGCAGCACCGAGTCCTCCACATCTGTCATGTCTGTGATTGCAGGTGGCAGACTGAACGGTGAAGGTTCTCGTGGTCTTTCCCGTCGCATTGCTGAGGTGACGACGTCGTTCTTCAGCTGCCACAGCTCTGGGACAAGTACATCTCCTAGCTCCGGTTCGAGGTGCGAGGCCAGACATAGCAGCCAGTCGCTGTCTGGCTCGCTGAGCTGCATGTGCCGCGAAAGCTGCTTGATGCCATGTGCGGTGTCGGGTCGTAGCTCAGCTAGGTTCAGCGGCTGGGCGACGCCGAAGTCCACCGCAACTCGGCGGGCCTCGTCGATGAACTTTGCCGTGACCTTCCGATACAGGCCGGGGTCGAAATGTGCTGCCATTGC